CCCCCCCCCTCCTTTTTTTTTTACTTTTAATTTGCTACCTTGATGTTTAAGTCGTTATGTTTTCGTGTAAATTGCTATATTCTGATGTAACTGCTACCTTTTAGCGTAAGTTTCTATGTTTTGGGCTAAGTTGCTTATTTTTTTCTTCCCCTTTACAAACCATATAAGAAACTGATGAAATACAGAAATTGAGCTTGAAAATAAATTCAATATGGCATAGTGCTTTTAAGCATTATTTTGGAAGTGTGTGGGTTCTAAAAACAAATAAGAAAAACCCTTTTTTCCAATATACAACAAAAAACATGAATTTTCACACCTAGCAACATGAGCCTTTGACAAATAATGAAACATTTTTACAGTGCAAAAATAGAAAGTGTACGAGGTGCATTGGTGGAAGCCAATTTGCGTACTTAACATAACAAAAACAACTTTACTAAGAAGATCAAAGTTATCCTGGAGAGAATTTGACGAAACCATACACGAGAGCTCCTAAAAATTCTTAAAGCTATACGAAATTAAAAATATCTTACAAGTAAAAAATCCAAAACTAAATTAATAGCCTGCTAATTACTAAAAACCAACAAAATCATCAACTTAACCCGATAAAGAACGAAACTTTATGAGATAATCACCCGCATAAAGGAATTTACACAAAACCAACAAAGAAAATAAAACGGTGAATTTAAACAGCTCCATTATAGAAAAATCTAGAATCATATACATCAGCTTCATCAAGATACCAAGATTGAAATTTTCAAAAAAAATAAGTGGTAAAATTATCGAAATTTACCGAGATTCAGCCGATAAGGAAGAAATCGAGAACCTCCGACCGATCAAAATCAATTCGATGCGAACTGAGAACCTAAGAATCGACACTCTTTATAAAAGATCCAGAGAGAGAGCGAGATTTGGGATACCGAAAATAAATAAATAAAAATTAAAAAACCCTAGTTTTTATTTTCTTTCATTTTTATCTGAAGACCCCGCTCTTTATAAATTCCAAAACTGTAGCCTGTGTGCGTAATAGAGATGACGTAATTACTGAAATACCCTTCAGTGGTTGATATATTTACTGCCAGCGGGGCATTTGAGGATGGAACAGGTTTAATGCTAAATTTTAGTAAAATAGTGGTAATCAACAAAGTTAGGATTACTTGCACTTTAGCACTTTAAAATTTATATCTTTTATTTATCTTGATATACAAAGTTTTTATTTAGCACTTTGCTATCTGAAAGTGTACGCAAAGTTTTTATTTAGCACTTTGCTATCTGAAAGTGTACACTTTATTTTACTATATTTGATAGCCTAAAATTTACACATTTTGTAACATACTCAATGTCAGTAACATAACTTTGGCATATCAAAGTCAAAAATAAATAGAAACTTTAAAGTATCAAAGTGTCAAACAACACCCTTTGTGTAATCAAAGGTTGAAGTAGTGTAAACCTTGGATACCAAAATGCAAAGAACTCATAAAATTATGAATTTTAGTATATTTTATGTTTTTTCTCCCACTATATTTCGAGCTTATCATATTTTTATAAATGTTAAGGACTTTCATAAAAACCAAGAATAGGAAATGGGAGTATGGAAACCTCTCATTTTCTATTTTCAACCATTTTCATCCCTAAAACTTACCCCAATATTTAATAAAATATTATTTTATCATCCAACTCATCCAATAAAATATTATTTTTATCATCCAACATCTAATAAAATATTATTTTTATCATCACATCATCCCACTCATCTCATATCATCTCATCTCATATTTAAAAATCAATCACATCATCCAATAATATGGTGACAACTCATCTCATCTCCTTAAACTTTCATCTCCACCCATTTCCTCCAAAAAAACAAGGAAATTGATTTCCTTAAGTGTGGGTCACATCATCCAATAATATAATGACAACTCATCTCATCTCATCTATTTTCTTATTTTTAAGAATGAACCAAACACAAGAAAAGAACCTATTAGGGTCCGTTTGGTTGGTTTCCTAAAAACCAAGAAAAGGAAATCGGTACAAGGAAATTAATAAAATAATATTTTTATCAATTTCCATCCCTAAAACTCACCCACAATATTTAATAAAATATTATATTTATCTTCCAACTCATCTCATTTCATCTCCTTTCTTACATTTAAAAATAAACCAAACACAAGAAATGTGTCACATCATCCAACTCATCACAACTCATCTTATCCTATTTTTAAAAATCACACACAACATCCAATAATACTGTGACAACTCATCTCATCTCATTAAATATTCCTTTCCATCCATTTCCTCAAAAAAAAACAAGAAATTGGTTTCCTTAAGTACGTGTCACATCATCCAATAATATACCTCCAACTCATCTCATCTCATCTATTTTCCTATTTTTAAAAACGAACCAAACACAAACAACCTCAAAACATCATCCAATAATATATCTCTAATTCATTTCCTTATTTTTTTAACCAACCAAACAACCTCAAAACAATCTTTTTTTTAAAAATCACTCACATCATCCAATAATAAGGTGACAACTCATCTCATCTCATCTCCTATTCTACAATTTTCTTCTTTTTTAACCCAACCAAACAACCTCAAAACAATTATTATAGGAAATAGATTTCCTATTCTTTGATTTCCCAAAAAAATATGCCAAACGAACAGGCCCTTATAGGAAATAGTTTTCTTATAATACATTTCCTTATTTTTTTAGTCAACCAAACAACCTCAAAACAAATTTTCTTAAAAAATCACTCACATCATCCAATAAAATGACGACAACTCATCTCATCCCATCTCCTATTCTTTAATTTCCTTCTTTTTTTTTCCAACCAAACAACATCAAAATAAAATTTCTAAGAAATAAGTTTCCTATTCTTTGATTTCCCTCTTTTTTTAGACAAACAAACAGCCCCTAATTGGCAATTTAAAAATAGAATATCATGTTCAACAATTCCAAGTAGAATCTACCTGGTAAGTTTTGCTGTGGGCTGATTATTTTTTATATTTTTTAGAATGCGAATTGATTTCAAGACAGTATATGATGGTTAAATTATTTAGCATTATTGTACGTAGATTTTATATTATATAGATGCTTCACACGTGTCCTCCTTTCTTGAGCCTCTGAGAATCCACAAATCATATTCGAAATGAAAAAGAGTTATTTAAGATACTAAATGTGGAGCGCTGCTACGGAACCCAAAATATGGGACCAAGGGGTGGGACTAGTGATGTGTCCATTTCTTATTGGATAATGAGTTGGCAATGAGTTGACATGGTCAACTCATTATCCAATAAGAAAGAGACACATCACTTGTCTTACCCATTGGTCCCATATTTTGGGTCCTTTGAGCATTAATCATAAATGTGCCCAAATAGTGTTTGGGATTCCAATCCAGATCTGAAGAAATTAAGAATGTTAATAATTATTAGCGGTAATTTATGTTATTGTAACTTCTATCATAAAAGTTGTTATTTCATATCACATATCACAAAAATACATATATACATATTGGTTTTAGCCTAGCATGATAAAAAGAAAAATATTTCAAGACTATAACATTTTCTTTATTAATAAAATAAGAAATATTAAAGTTAAATATGTAATAATTTATTAGTAATTGTTTTTTGTATTTATTTGTTATGAGTTTCCTTACGACATTTTTTGTAATTTACGCGGTACCTGAAACACTGTATACGTAGACACAATTGGTCTCTCCTTATATTCACATAATCTTATAGCTTCTTTATCAAATAATAATAATAATAATAATAATAAACTCTTGCAGCTTATGATTAGTCAAATCTTAATAGATATTTAGTTTGTTCTAAGATTTCTTAACTCTTTGAATCTTTTTTTTTTAAATCAAATAATACCAAATTTTCTCCATGTAGGTCGGTTTTCATGGATTCCTTAAAGCGGTTCGTTTGGTTACTTTTCCACATGCAATGAATGAACGTATGCTTTTTTTCATACACGTGTAAGATGATACGCTTGTTTAGGGGTAGACCAGAAGGTTAATAGATTAGGGCACGAAATTGTGTCGATCTATCGTCTTGTTTCATGGATGCCGAACCAAAATGATACATGCATGTGCATGAAGCTTCCTTAAATCTTGCGTATCCTTGGTACTACAATCTACATCGTTTAGGTTCCTGCTTGCTTTATTTTTAACACTATTTCTACTAGCATAAGGTAATAATAGCTCAAAATCTTCACAAAGTGGAATGAAGGGGAATGAAGGGGAGAGAGAAGCTCTCGATTAATTACCACATTTGATTGAGATTTAATCATATCATTGTTCGAAATCTTGGTTATAAAAGGCACTTTAAGATAGTACCAAAGCAATTGAACTATTAGACATGCATTCAAAAATATATTGTTGAAAAAATTTATTATTGTATGAGATTATATTTCAGCCCATGAAAACGCAAAAAACTTACAAGAATATACAATAGTATAAAATTGTAAGTTGTAACCCTTGTCAGCTATATTCAACATCGAAGTTTTAGCGCCGTGAAAAACGACTTTAAGATTATTTTCTTTCTTTGAAATCTAACATATGCTTCTGCTTGTTGGATTTAAACATGTCACAACTTTAAAGTTTAGACTTTTAATATCATTTGAAAATTCCTTGCAGTATATCAAAACTTTCAAGTAATAGTGAATATGTTGAAAATAGTCAATTAGGATAACCCAATCTTTTTCAAAGATTGAAACCGATTTAGCATGTTGATATGATATCATGTAACAATGGATTTGTATCTTTATACTGATTTGACAACAAATTAATTCTTATTAAAGAAAATGACCCTATAACTCCTGAACCATTATCATATCTGGGGATACCTTATTTAATAAAGAGATTTGGGACTACTGGCCGGTGGAGAAATAGAACAGAGACCTAAAAGTTAAAGATTAGTGGGACACGATCTAAATTAGTGCTGGTATTTAATATTAATTTGTTGAATATATGTGATTTTGAATTAACGATGGCCGTCAATATGAACCTCGTAGGAATAAATTAAGATTGTGTATCATTAGTATCACACAACAATCAATTATAAGATAAATTAGTTGATAACATGGGATTTTGAATTAATGATGGCCGTCTATACGAACCATTATGAACAAATTAAGATTGTGTCCTTGCTGAAAGCTTAGTTTGATTGATGCCTCTTCTGTTCCTACAATTTTGTCGCTTATTTGTCAGCATACTTAGGAATAAGTTTGGGTTTCTTTAAGATAATGGACCCTTAAAATATTTCATTCCTCGAATTAGTCCCTCAAAACTTCGGAATTGTTGTTTAGTCCCTTAAGCTCCATAGTTAGGAAGCTAGATGAATGCTTTTGTGAGGCAATTTACCAAGGTAAAAAAGATTTGTTTTTTGAGGATTGACATGAAGACTAAAGATATTGGCGAAGAAAACATAATAGTTTTGAGGATGGACATATCAAAAGGAGAAGCCCTGCTGAAAATGATGGTGTCGTCAGCGAACTGGAGAGCTCTGATGGAATTAAGCTCACCCTTCAGCTGAAGATCAGATAAATCCCTCGAAGCTGCACTAGTAATCAGCATCTTATTTAAAACGTCAACTACAATCAAAAATAACATAAGGGATGGGGGATCACCTTATTCGAGACCCCTAAAAAACATCTACAGAAGCTAGAAGGGGACCCGTTAACTAAAACAGCAGATTTAGAGGAATGCAGAATATGATGGATCCAAAGGCACCATTGAGGGCCAAAGCCTCTGACTTGGATGAGAGAGATGAGGAAGTTCCAATTGACACAATCAAAAACCTTGAAAAAAATCAACTTTAATTGCACAAATCTCTTTCTTACCAGAGAAACAGAAGTTTATCATCTCATGAGCAAGGAGAATAAAGTCCAACGTGGATTTTCCTTACTGAAAAGTTGATTGAGAGTTATCCACCAGCAGATAGAAGAATTTTTTTAGCCTATTAGCCATAA